ATGTCCCAGCTGCTGCATTTCTTCCTCTGCCCCTACCTACACCTGAAGATGTGCCAGTTGCTACATTTTTTCTCTTTCCTCTGCTAGCAGGTTGTGAGCCTTCTCCTCTTTCAGTTGTTTTTGTTGTTCTCCCAATGTTCATCTATGTTACGAGTCTTAGCTGTGGAATTGCAGCACCAATAGCTGCAACAAATGCAGATTGGTCTGGTAGGGGGCCATGTAACCTTTGTGGAGCCCTATGAGATCTCTCCCTCATGACCATGCTTGAAACCATGCTGTCTGGCAACTGGGTTGGATCCATGCTAGGGTTTGCCAAGTGAGGAAAAATGTTCTACATAAGAAACAAGTTATGAGATGAGTTATTAGATGAGCAAAGAAGTTCAGAAAGATTTATGTAAAATGCAATAAATAAGTTATGTACTTCTACAAATGTTGGGTCATCATAGTCCTCATCTTCTCTTGGATCTCTAGGCCCCATTTGAGCTTCCTGGTACTTGTAGTGTCCCTTCCTGTTGTGATCATCTTTTCCACATATGGAGCAGTGCATTGTAACTCCATTTTTGTTAGCACTTTAGCACCACCTTTCATCTTTTCCTCTGGTGTCTTTTTCCTATTTTTTGGGCCTTCCTAATTGTTTAGTGAAGATAGGTGGATACACTTTATCCCTATCCATCTTTCCCCACATTTCAGGGTCTCTAAGAGGCATCAGATTGTATCCATAGGCTTTCAGATATGTTTGGACAGAGTAGCACTCATGGACCATTTCCTCTGGATCAATCCTCTCCTCTCTCATACATGCAACTCCATGAGCACAAGGTATTCTTGATAGCTGCCATCTACCACAGTCACACCTGAACAAGGCAAGGTTCACATTGTAGCTGGAATTCCATGACTGTACCTTGAACAGTTCCTGTCCAGCACCAGCAACATGACAGTTAACTGCATATTCAATATTTTTTCTAGCTTTTTCAGAATCTTGGGACAAATTCTATGTCATGTCCGTTTTTCAATTGCTTCTCTTTGTTTACTCTGGATTCTGTGCATACGCTTGTAGAAAATATTTTCTAACATGGAAAGCACTGACATCTTCATAGCATCCAAGATGTAACTGTGAAAAATAGGAACATAAGTTTGGAGCTGAAAATGACCAATGATAATAACTGAATATGAGCAGTGATAATAACTGAATATGGGCATTGTAAATAACTGAATACCTGTTGAAAACTTCATAATTATTGTTCAACACTATGTAACATTTAGGAAACTCACTGAAGAATGCTTTCATCCATGTCTTTGGATTCAATCTCTCTGACCAATGAAAAGCTTCATCACAATGTTCATCCATCTTCTGACAATTTTCTCTCCACTTCTGCTTGCTAGTTGATCTTGCTATGACCCATAAGTCTTGTTTCAGCACTTCTTTGTGCTTCTCATGGAAGTTTTGATAAATGTGCCTCACACAAAACCTGTGTTCTGCATCTGGCCACATTTTTATCACTGAATTTATTAATCCCTTCTGCTTGTCACTCATGATTGTGAAAGGTGAAGTGTTTATGATATTAAGATCATCTCTAAGAGTGGTCAAAAACCATTCCCAAGCACTAGTACACTCAACTTCAACCCAACCCATGGCCAGAGGGAATATGCATTCACTAGGATCTATGCCAACAGCAGTCAGCAACACCCCCTTGTACTTGGTATTCATATGACACCCATCAACAAATATAATATGCTTGCATCCCTGAAGCCAACCTCTTTTGCAAGCATCATAAGACCAATACACTGATTTCAAACATTTCTGCCCATTGGGTACTGTTCATTTGTCACAAAATGAGTAGACACAAGAAATGTGGAGCCAGGGTTACATGTCCTCAGTTCCTGACCATAGTTCCACAACTTACTGAATTGTTCATCCTCATCCCCATTAATTATCTTCAGAGCTTGTTTCCTAGCCCTAGTTAACTTCCATCTGTTGACAGTAATGTGAAGCTCCTTTGTAACCTTCCTTGAAAATGTGCCAAGGCCCATCTCTTTGGTCATCCCTGAATTCATCAATGAAAATTTTTGTAAGGAAATTGGCTGTCAGTGCTTTCAACTCCCATGCCTTCTGACACTTGTGGACTGCAGCATAAACCTTTATGACAAAGCCTCCTGTCCTATTGTCCAATCCAGCTTTAAGAAGCCATGGACAACCAGGCTTGCACACTGCCTCCAATCTGGGTTTTTCATTCTTTATCTTCTTGATCTTAACTCTCTTCCTTATTGAATATGCATTCAGAGCTTGCCTCAGTTCCTTCACATGTGCAAAAACCATGCCTACTTTGAATATAGGAGAGTCCATGTCCACCTTTGCATTGAAAGCACTGAACTTGTATTTCATGTTATCTTCTTCTTCTCTTGACAAATCAAGGTCCTCATCCTCAAGTACATATTCAGGCTCATCATCTATCTCTTCATGCTCCTCTTCATCCACACCAAAATCAATGTATTCATCAAAGAGATCATCATCTCCCTCATTAATGCTGAAGTCACTATCACTAAAGTTTGAATCTGTCAATTCTGCTACTGTCTCTGCTTGCTCTGAAACTGCAATTTGCATGTTTGCACTTGATGTCTCTACTGCTTGAACTGAAACGTCCATGTGCTGGCTTCCACTAGCTGCTTGCTTTGAGAGACATATTTCAACCAATGATCTGAACACTGAGCTGGGCATTGTATATATGACCTCATGCCTGCAAATCTGAATAAAGTCTGAATGATCAATCAATATCTCCAGCACCTTATGTACTTCACTTGCTCTGATCATGTTCTGGACATCAGCCGCTCCTCTAATTGGCACCAGCCCTTCTGACAATAGGCACCCAGGCCTACACCAATAAATGTGGTGCTCCCACACAGGATAGCTCAACCATTGCAGATGCTTCTCAATAAATGAATATGAGAAATTAGCAGCATAGCAATAGTCCAGAATCTCCACACTAGCACTTGCATACTCCAGGTTGCGACTTGGTCCACAAAAAATGTCATTATGCTCAATTTGCAAGGTGAAGAATGTAGATTCCACATGCATGCCCATTGCTGCATCACACACTGCACAACAAATTCAGAGCATGATCAGCAATATTCAAACAATATTCAGACCATGAAAATATTCACAAGTGTCATCATTATTCAGAGTACTACAATATCATTTTCAACATTATTTATCCTACCCAAAAACCACACATTTTCATCTATCCTACCCCAAAACCCCAACTTTATGGCACAATCTTCAGAATCAACATGCTTGCGACCAATTTCAACATTACAACCAGTACATGCCTAAAACCACAACTTATTGAGAGCAGGTAATCATCTTTCCTAGCAAAATAACTGAACTTTATGACACAAAATATCAACTTTAGAGCCCTAAACCCCTACTTTCCTCTGCTGCAACATAAACCCTAGCAACCGTATCGAACCTCTCCATCCTCTCCATCTACCCCGACGACCAACCCCAACGAGTAACAGTGGCGATCAACCCCGGCGACCAACCCGACGAGTGCCAAAAAAGAAGAAGAAAAGCAGAGGTGCAGGGAGGGCGCACCTTACCGTAATCCGGCGGAAATGCGCCCAATTGGCGGTCGAGTCTGACGGACTCTGGCGGCTCCATGGCCACCGCGATGGCCGGCGACGTCGCCACCACCGCTGACGTCATGGGAACGGGCGCCGTCGCCACTCCCCCCGGCTCCCGCAACAGAGGAACGAGGCGAAGTAATGGATTTCCCGGCCAGGTGGAGGGGCCGCAATATTAAATAACCAAGGGAGGGCCAGACAGGGACTACGGACAGGTTGAGGAATTTTCCGCAAAAAAGCCGGTCCAACCAAGTGTGCCACGAAGCAGCCAGCTGGGCGCCAACTGTCCATGTCTGATTGGCTGTGGACTAAACCATCACATAGTTTGCAAGTTTATGGATGTGTTGATCATATTTTACAAGTTTCTGGACTAAACCATCAAATCCAAGGCAAGTTTATGGGTCTCTAGTGCTCTTGTAAAATGAAAACCAAAGCTGCCTCGAGTCGCCCACAAGGTCAGACCTCAGACGTATGGGATGGGAATGCGATGATGATGGTCCAGCAACCCACCTGAGACTGAGAGCATATATCAGACAGTGACGAGGATAAAGTCAAGTCATCGTACCCAAGGTTAAAGGAGCATAAAGTCTGCTGCCATGGCATCAGGGGGCACGCTAGTGGAGTACGTACTATCTTTTTACCCATTATTATCAATGGGCAGTTGGATTTCCAAGCAACAGCCACGATATTCCTTGCGTAGTAAGAGTACGAGAGGGACAAAGACAGGAGATTCTGTCAGAGAATCACTTCACAACAAAGACTCTGTTCGGCCCAGGTTTACAGATAAATGTCCCGGGATCAAATCGCTACTCCAAAAGAAGCACTAGATTATTTTCTCACACTTGTGGAGTACACTCAACAAGGGGGCAGAGTAAAAGTTATCTGATTTGTGTGACAGTGTTCCGCGCAATGCGTTAAAAGCTTTCGCGACAACGTTTACCTTGGAAGTTGGAAGTTGGGAATGCCTCAACTTGACACTTCAGTTGTTCGAACAACAAGCAGCCGTATTATTGCACGCGGTACTTACAAGACTGAAGAAACAACTGTTAAATTTACACTCATGCCCAGTTCGGCCCCTGCGCTGTGATTCTACAGCTTGTCTATGAACACCAACGACTGACTATTCTATGCTGCGTGCGTACAGGCATAGAATTTACATGGTGGGTGCTGCCGCGCAGCACTACTTTGTTTCATGTACGTACTACCTGACCAGAAGATGAGTAAGTGGAGCAACCCGATTGTCGTGCCATCTTAAGCTAGCGTAACAGGAGGACGAACGTGGTGATCTATGTCACAACAAATTGACTAGGTGGACAGAGCAAGTCTGCCAAGGATCATGCGTCTTCTGTTCGTCGAAATCCTACAGGAAGAAATAGCACAGCGGTCTAGCTGAAGAAATCTACTGCACCAGGCAGAACTGAGAATTTGGTCGGAAGAAAACCAAAATGCTCCCCGTCAGATTGCACAAAGACGTCGCCGTTAGGCACCACTTCTGCCACTTCAATTGATTGAACCCTGCAACAGCAATGCTGTTAGTTAGATGAAGACAACTACCAAGATTTTTGAATCAAACTGTGCTTGCTGTGTTTCAGAAACACCTTCGGAAATCAGAACAATGATTACTACTTCAACTAACTGTTCCAACTAGTGTTTTGAAAAATAACCAAATGCCCTTAGCAAAGCATTTTCACGTTACCACGCGCTTCCATAAAAAAAATCGTGTTTGGCTAGTTCTTACATCAATGGTCAGAGGGCTTAGGTATTGTTCAAAAAAAAAATACATCAAACTTTTGGACCTTTGCCAGACATTAAGATATTATAGCAAGCAGTACTAATGAAGAATGGTAAGAAATACTAGAGTAATCGATCAACATAAAGATGTGTTAGGAGGTTGGCCTATATGTTCAAACGTTCCAAGCGCCCAACTACCTTCCTTGGGAACATAAAAAGCAATATGCTCTCTGCAGTATCTGTGTGTTTTCCATGCAGGTATTTTTTTCTACAAAAGGCACATCACCCAAGTTCACAGAATCATTTCAAATGGTATTGTACTTATACTTCAGCCTCGTGAGCAAGAACCTTAACAAAACTCAAGATTCTGTTACCTTATTGATGACACGCCATTCACCGTTAAATGTGTGCCTCCATACAGCCTATGTAGCTTAAGAAGAAAAGTGTACCACTTGAAATCTTGTAGAATAACAACCTGTAAAACACCTTACAAGTTACCATAAGTGTGCCATTTACTCAAAATTGTAAAATTAAATTTGACTTGCTTAGACACCTGAAGGTCACCGCTAAAAGGATCAGCTGTTGGAGTAATATTCATGCCACCACCAAAGTACTTGGCATTTCCTACGCATAGAGCAGTGACTTTATCAACTGTTCTCCATTCTCCTCCATTCACCTATTATACGTGTTATCAAATTGCAGAGGTCCAAAATTACATGGGCAGAAAAAGCTGTATAGTGGAACTCACTTCAACGCAAAAACTACATAAAAGCTCACCTTTATTCTCAAATCTCGATTACTATGTCCCCAAAAGCCTCTTAGAGCTCCCAGAACATAACATAAGTTGCCAAATCTCTTGTACATAGAAGCAAAATAACCTGCCTTGGCACTCCTGTAGACATAGTAATTTTTCAAATTCCAATCTATACACCGAATTTCATGTTTCAAATTGTCATATCCACTTACAGATGGATATCAGCAACATTTATAAAGAAATGTGGATCTCCATTTGGACCTTCCATCATGCCAATGTCTAGTTTTGATTTAACTCCTGCTGAAAAGGTTTACCTGTGAGTCTGAGATGTTGGGCATACAATTCCATTGAGTCTGAGTACACAGGTATTTGATCATGTTGGTCTTGGTTTCATAATTGTCACAAAACTGGGGAAGTTATCACTGAAATGTTGAGTTTACAGTGGCTAGAACTTTATCATCTGGTATGGCTATCCGCAATGATGAGACAGAAGATACGAAATTAGTTTAATCCGGTTACTATATATCCGTGTACTTTACTTGCTAACAGAGAAAGAATCAACATAGATGCTATATGAGAATAAAGTAGCAAGGAAGAAACCTCTCACAATTCGATCAATCGCCTGACGGGGATCATTTGACCTGGTTTAACAAGCAATGACATGTTCCAATGAAAATAGAGGTTACCAAACCACAAGGGCATATACAAGAATGAAAACACAATTACCAGCCAAATGTCCTAGCAAAGTCTGAGCCGGTTCCAAGTGGGATGAGCTGCAAAAGAAAAACAAAGTGCATCATGTAAACATTACAGAACACCCTAACAGTTATGTCTCAAAAGACAAAAAGGGCAATCTCCTTTTTTTCAGCAAAGCAACAAGGTATGCCACTCACACCAAGTGCCGTCAAGTGATCAGGCCCTCGATCAAGAGCACGGACCGGGCTTCCTTTCCAAAAGAAGCCATTCACCACCTGCACATGTGCTCCCAGTGTCAATTGCAGGAAATGTCAACAATTTGCACCAATATCGTACCAACACGCGACGCACAAATACCTCATGAAGTGTCCCATCCCCGCCAACGGCGATCACAGCATCAGCGCCATCCTTTATAGCCTAAGGCACGCACAAGAGGACCAGTGTTCACAGAACAGTGGGAACCCCATAGTGGGAAAATTAACAGGTGATGATTGAATTTGATATGAAGCCAGGCACACACCTCCCTCGTGACATCTATGGCGTGCGACGGGCCCGAGGTGATGCACTCGCAAATCTGATCGCCCGATCGATACCCACAAAGGCACAAAGCAAAATATTCTGTGAGATCACCGAGTTATTTACCAGCGGATCTGAGCCCAAGCGTGGTTTCGCACGGCAATCGGAGCTTGCCGTTGTGGAGTGAGGTGGTCTGCGGGGATCTACGAGCTCTCAGAGGCTTACGTTGCATTGGTCGGCGAGGCGGGTGCGGAGGAGGGGGAGCAGCTGCTTCCACTGCTTGCCCGTCCGGCCATTGGCGCCTGCACAGCGGGATCCGCGCGACGCGGACGGCGTTTAGAGTGGAGATACGTGGCCGGGGGTGGGGTGGAGGGGGAGTCTACGGGAGGGGCGTACCGGAGGGGTTGACGACGAAGACGAAGTCGCGGCGGTGGCCGGAGGAGCCCGTGGCGGCGGCGTGGTCGGAAGCGAGGCTGACGGCGCCCAACTGGGAGCGGCTGCGCGAGGCGCGCGGCCGGATCAGCGCCGGCCTCGGCGTCGCCGGCGAGGCCATGACGTCGCCGTTGCTTTATCCCGATTTGACTGTGGAGACACACGCACGAGAGGGATGCTCGACGAAAAAGGCGCCGCTTAATGAAGTACGTTTTCCTCAGGAGAAAGCAGGTTTTCGTTGGGTTGGTTTTTTCAAGAGTAAAATGCATCATAGATTCTAAAATTATTTTGGAGGTGTGTCAGTTTAGTCCTATAATTTCGGAAAACAGTTTTTGATCCTAAAACTATACGAGGTGTGTTAGTTTAGTCCTATAATTTGAAATGCAATTTTGAATTCTGAACTATGTTAGGTGTGTCAGTTCAGTTCTATAACTTCGAAACATCAGTTCGGGTCCCAAAACTATGTAAGTCTATTCATCTCATCTCATAACCTTGCATGACCACAAGTGAGGAATTATTGCGATGTCGAACGACGTGGAGCAGTGCGTAGAAACCACGAAGTTGGTGCAAAGGTCAGTGAGAGTAACGTGGCCCCGACAGGAGCTACATGTGGGTAGCAATTGGACGCTGTGTGACGTGTTGTTCTGCTACTGCGAGGTGAGTCTGAGATGACCGGTCTACTCTTCGCGCTAGAGCTCAAGCCATCATGCCACTAATGGCCTCTATACTGTCGCCTCTGTGCATTCTGTGTGGGAGAAGACGAGTGGCGAGACAACGCTCTAGGGATTTTCTTGCATATTTACCTTTGATAAGTAAACCTGGTGAGTCCATTGGGTCAATGTGTCAACATTCCAACCACCTCCAACTGGCACGAGCGATGGGTCATTGCTGGACATGCAAGTTTAGGACCCGAGATAAACAAACTTACATAGTTTTGGGACTCAAAAGTGTAATTACGAAGTTTTAGGACCTGACACATCTTCAATAGTTTTGGGACCCAAAACTGTAATTTTAAAGGACTAAACTGATACACCTTCAATAGTTTTACGACATAAAACTACAGTTTTGAAGTTATAGGACTAAATTGACACATCGCTAATAGTTTTAGGACTTAAGATGCATGTTACTCTTTTTCAAGATGCCAAAGGACATCTTAGATCTGACCATTATCAAAGAAAATGGTAGCAAGTATACAACAACTTTGCTACAAATCCAACGTCAGATTTTCGATCATGGCAAATCAAACATTTTTCATATCAATTATAGTTGTGGCGAGGAGGGTAAATTTCTTTTGGATTTGACATACTTGCTAAAGAAAATTGCCATCATCATAACAACTATAATTGTCATGGAAAACATTCGAGTTGGCATGGACTATATAATTTGCAATGTCCACTGAAAGAATTTACCATGCTTCCGGTATCATAATTTGCCATCACAAACTTCAGATTTGTCATGATCAAAAATCTGACAATATTTTTAATGAAAATCCAAAATAAAATTCCATTGAAAATCACACTTTGTACGTCATCTGCCGAAGATTGAAAATTGCACTAAACCAACATCAAACAAAGCGGACGCATGCAAATGTGCTCACCATACCAAATTTTACAGATCGTAATAATCATTCGCTGCTTGAGACGAGGTCTAGAAATGACAGAAGAAACATCTGTTGAAGCATCATCCCATGCAACACAGGCTTACAATCCATCAGCATTGGTACAGAGCGCTAGAGAAACCGGACCATGCCACCGAACATCACTAAAGAAGACGTCGGCGTCACCCCACCAATGGCCGGCCAATTTCTATCTTTGATAGACAAACCAACAGCCAAGTTCTGAGGAAAGCCAATAGATATGGTGACAAAAACTCTCAAGGTCCTTCATTGAAGCCAGATCAGACATTGTCGAGGTAGGAAGAGGACGGAGATACATTACTCCAACATGTCGTCTTCACCACATCATTGACGCTGTCGGGGAAACAAAAACCTAAAGAAAGAAATGGACACGTCCACACTCCTCTTGCCGCCGATGAGGCCGCGGGTCGGGAACAACACGACGACATGAGGGAGACCTTTGGTGGAATGGTGTGATGGAAATATGCCCTAGAGGAAATAATAAAATGGTTATTATTATATTATCTTAATCATGATAAATGTTTATTATTCATGTTAGAATTGTATTGATCGGAAACATTAATACATGTGTGAATACATAGACAAACACTGTGTCCCTAGTGAGCCACTACTTGACTAGCTCGTTGATCAAAGATGGTTAAGGTTTCCTAACCATGGACATGAGTTGTCATTTGATAACGGGATCACATCATTAGGAGAATGATGTGATGGACAAGACCCACCCATTAGCCTAGCATAATGATCATTCATTTTTATTGCTATTGCTTTCTTCCTGTCAAATACGTATTTCTTCGACTATAAGATTATGTAACTACCGGATACTGGAGGAATGCCTTGTGTGCTATCAAACAACACAATGTAACTGGGTGATTATAAAGATGCTCTATAGGCATCTCCGAAGGTATTTGTTGGGTTGGCATAGATCGAGATTATGATTTGTCACTCCGAGTATCGGAGAGGTATCTCTGGGCCCTCTCGGTAATGCACATCATAAGAAGCCTTGAAAGCAAAGTGACTAATGAGTTAGTTACAAGATGATGTATTACAAAACAAGTAAAGAGACTTGCCGGTAACGAGATTGAACTAGGTATGAAGATACCGACGTCGAATCTCAGTCAAGTAACATACCGATGGACAAAGGGAATAACATATGTTGTCATAACGGTTTGACCAATAAAAATGTTCGTAGAATATGTAGAAGCCAATATGAGCATCTAGGTTCCGCTATTGGTTATTGACCGGAGAGGTGTCTTGGTCATGTCTACATAGTTCTCGAACCCGTAGGGTCCGCACGCTTAACGTTCGATGATGATTTTGTATTATATGAGTTATGTGATTTGGGGACCAAATGTTGTTCGGAGTCCCGGATGAGACCACAAACATGACGAGGAGTCTCGAAATGGTCGAGAGGTAAATATTGATATATAGGATGATAGTATTCGAACACCGGAAGTGTTCCGAAGGGTATCGGGTACATATCGGGTCACTGGAAGGGGTTCCGGGCACCCCCCCGGCAAAAGATATGGGCCTAATGGGCCAAGGGGGGAAACGCAGCAGCCAGCAGGGGCTGTTGCGCCCCCCATATGGGCCAAACCAGAGGAGAAGGAAAGAGGGGAAGAGAGAAGGAAGGGGAGGGATTCGACCTCCCCCTTCCTTCCCTCCTCCCTCATCCTTCCTCCTACTTGGGGGCGCCCCCTTGCTGCTCCCCTCCCTCTCCCATCTATATATACATGGTGAGGGGGCGCCTAGAACACACAACAACATCTGTTAGCCGTGTGCGGTGCCCCCCTCTGAGATTACACCCGCGATCATATTCTCGCGGTCTTAGGCGAAGCCCTGCACGGATCACTTCACCATCACCGTCACCATGCCATCATGCTGACGGAACTCATCTACTTCCTCTACACTTTGCTGGATCAAGAGTTCGAGGGACGTCATTGAGCTGAACGTGTGCAGAACTCGGAGGTGCCATACGTTCGGTACTTGATCGGCCGGAACGAGAAGAAGTTCGACTACATCAACCACGTTGTCAAATACTTCCGCTTTCGGTCTACGAGGGTACGTAGACACACTCTCCCCCTCTCATTGCTATGCATCTCCTAGATAGATCTTGTGTGAGCGTAGGATTTTTTTTAAATTGCATTCTACGTTTCCCAATAGTGGCATCAGAGCCAGGTTTGTGCGTAGATCATATGCACGAGTAGAACACAAAGAGTTGTGGGCGGTCATAGTCATACTGCTTACCACCAACATCTTATTTTGATTCGGAGGTACTGTGGGATGAAGTTGCCCGGACCAACCTGACATGATCACGTTCATGAGACCAGTTCCACCGACAGACATGCAACTAGTTTTGCATAAAGGTGGCTGGTGGGTGTTTGTTTCTCCTACTTTAGTTGAATCGAATTAGACTACGACCGGTCCTTGAAGAAGGTTAAAACAACAAACTTGATGAAACACCGTTGTGGTTTTGATGCGTAGGTAAGAACGGTTCTTGCTAGAAGCCCGTAGCAGCCACATAAAACTTGCAACAACAAAGTACAGGATGTCTAACTTGTTTTTGCTGGGCATGTTGTGATGTGATATGGTCAAGACATGATGTGATAAATGTTATTGTATGAGATGATCATGTTTTGTAAGATATCTGACAACCGACAGGAGCCTTATGGTTGTCTCTTTATTGTATGAAGTGCAAATGCCATGTAATTTCTTTACTTTATCACTACGCATTAGCGATAGTTGTAGAAGCAATAGTTGGCGAGACGACCACGACGTTACAATGGAGATCAAGGTGTCAAGCCGGTGACAATGGAGATCATGATGATGCTTTGGAGATGGAGATAAAAAAGCACAAGATGATGATGGACATATCATGTCACATATTTTTGCATGTGATGTTTATCTTTTATGCATCTTATTTTGCTTAGTACGGCGGTAGCATTATAAGATGATCCCTTAACTAAAATTTCAAGGAATAAGTGTTCTCCCTGAGTATGCACCATTGTGATAGTTCGTCATGTTGAGCACCACGTGATGATCGGGTGTGATAGACTATACGTTCACATGCAATGGGTGCAAGACAGTTTTGCACATGCGGAATACTCGGGTTAAACTTGACGAGCCTGGCATGTACAAACATGGCCTCGGAACACTAGAGACCGAAAGGTCAAACGTGAATCATATAGTAGATATGATCAACATAGAGATGTTCACCATTGATGACTACTCCATCTCACGTGATGATCGGACGTGGTTTAGTTGATTTGGATCACGTATCATTTAGATGAGTTGAGGGATGTCTATCTAAGTGGGAGTTCTTAAGTAATTTGATTAATTGAACTTAATTTATCATGAACTTAGTCCTGATAGTATTTGCAAATTATGTTGTAGATCAATAGCTCGCGTTGTAGCTCCCCTATGTTTTTGATATGTTCCTAGAGAAAACTATGTTGAAATATGATAGTAGCAATGATGCGGACTGGGTC